GTGCCTTGGAAGATAATTCTTTATTTCGATGGTATATCGCCGCGCGATCCTCTCGCGAAAGGCAAGGACTACCGTGGTATGGATGCTGTGTACTGGTCTTTTGCCGAATTTGACGAACACTTGCAAAACGAAGATCTATGGTTCCCCCCAGCACCGCGCGCGTTGCCAAGGTGAAAGATATGCCTGGGGGCACCGGGCAACATATCCGCATGATGCTCAGCGAGCTCTTTTTTATAGATCGGGTGGCGTTAACTTTGGGACAACGGGGGTTACGCTGGATGCATCTGCGTTGGGTGACGCAACAACGTACGCAACGATAGTTGCGATATTGGCGTGTGTTATAGGAGACGAGGAGGCATTGAGGGAGCTTCATATGAACAAGGGGCATGCTGGCTCTAAGCCCTGCGCAATTTGCAGGAACGTCCTTAACAAGAAATTCGGCTACACGCACTTCGACACTTAGGGGGCATGCGTTGATGATACCTGCCTTGACAAAAGCAAACTCGTATACAACACCGACGCGACAGTCGTCGCGATCTTGGAGAGGTTGCGCCCTGATTGGGCGATGTACCAGCGAGACGAGCTCACAGACGCGCAGTGCACATCTGTGACGCAGGTGAAAGGTTGGAATTTCCATCCAACGCATGTCGCACTGGACCCGTTTCCTAGATACTTGGTGATGACATTCCTCTGCTTCGATTGGATGCACGTATATTTCGTCAGTGGCATTTTTGATCGGGAAGTCAGGGCCCTCCTAGAGCACAAAGATTTCAAGGAACTGTGCAGCGCCGACGACCTCCACGATTACTTCATGAAGTGGACATAGCCATCCAAACACCACTCTGCTGCAACAGTCTGGGAAACGGGGGACTTCCAGGCGAGTGCCTCGCAAGAGCTATCTGCGATTCCCGCGCTGGCTCTATACATCAGGCAAGTCATTGCCAGTACACCATCCTGTGATGCAGTCGCAGACCAGATAGCAATCATGCGGGCGTTATGTGACGCCGTGGATGTTATTCTCTGCGCGTCGAGGCGATTGCCATGCACACGCGACGAGGTTGAGTCAGCAGTGTTGAAACATTTGGAGCTTCACCAGCGTGCATATGGTGCCAAGTATTGGGTGTACAAGCATCACATGGCTATCCACTTGGCTGGTATGTTTGAGAGGCATGGTGCTTTATCATGTTTTGTCCAAGAGCGGAAACACAAACATGTCAAAATATTTGCAAAGGACCACCTGTGCAGACGAGGCCCAAGAAGGCTGTAATGATCCAGCCCACGGCTCATCACATGCATGATCTACAGAACATCCGCGGGCTGTCACTGGAGTGCGAGTTCGAGTGCGCCGCAGCTGCAAGCAAACGTTTGTTGAGTGCTTTGCAGCAGCTGCGGCCAGGCACGCATGCAGCAGTCTCGACCATTGAAGCGCACACCGAACATGGAGGAATAATCAAACGTGGTGATCTAGTTTTTGATGGGTCGCGATCGTGGCCACGTTGCAACCCAAGTGTGGTTTCACGTGAAATGCGACGGCGATCCGCCGCAGAGCTTAGTTCAGATTCTGATTGCAAAGCACGCGCATGCGAGCGAACACTTCTCTAGGCATGTCATCGATGATGCCCGCGATCCCGTTCTCATCCCCTTCAGTTCGTTGAAATCGCAAGTGGTTTACAGGAGAGTTGGCGATCATATCACGTGCATTTGGCCAGTGGAATACCGTAAATTGTTCTGTTAGCGCATACCCTACAAAAAAACAACAACATCGATATGCAAAGAACACAACATGCAATCTCCAAAAAAACAAATTAACGTTCCAAAAAAACCTCAAGTAAAAACCAAACAACGAACATGTCACTCCACAAACTCCAACACGGTAACTAGTTATAACGAGTTACTAACTAGTTAGAACTCCAGCTAACTATTACTAACCGACGCGTTCCTTCAGGTTGGGGGTCTCTTGGGGCTTCCTGGGGGCCTGTTGGGCGCCTCACGGGGCTTCGTGGGAGCCTCTTTGTGGCCTCCGGGGGCCTACAGGCGGCCTAGGGCCAGAGACCTCGAAATATCGGTTGGCGGTCCCCCTCTGGGCCCTCTCTTGGGGAGCTCTTGGGGTACAGTTGGGTTGTCTGGAGAGCATCCTGGGCCGTCTTGGGGCCCTCGTCGGGGCCTCGTGGCCCGTCTTGGAGCGATCTGAAGGGCCTCCGAGCGAGGCCGTGAGGGAGCGCTGGGAAGCGGGGAAAGCGAGAACGCCTCAATCCTTCAAAAACCATCGGAAAATTAGTGAATCTTGCCTCCCATGGCCCTCTTGGAGAGCCTCTTGAGTCCGTCCTGGAGCGTGTTGGAGTCCTCGTCGGCCGTCTAGGGCAACTTGGGCGTCTTCGGGGCCTCTTGGGACCGTCTAGGGCCCTCTCGGGACCTCCATTAGCCTGTCGTGGCCTGCTTCGGGGCGAGCCTGGGCCGCCTCGGGACCCCTCTGGGCCTTCTCTTGGCGCCCTCTTGGGACACACTTGGGTTGTCTGGGGAGCATCCTGGGCCGTCTTGGGGCCCTCGTCGGGGCCTCGTGGGCCTTCTTGGAGCGATCAAGGGCCTCCGAGGCCGTGAGGGAGCGCTGGAAAGCGGGAAGAGCGAGAACGCCAAAATACAAAACACTCGGAAAATGAGTGAATCTTGCCTTCCAGGGCCTTCTTGGAGAGCCTCTTGAGTCCGTCGTGGAGCGTGTTGGAATCCTCGTCGTCTTGAGGGCATCTTGGGCGTCTTCGGGGCCTAATGGGAGCCTCTTGGGCCCTCGGGAGCCCCTTAGCCTGTCGTGGCCTGCTTCGGGGCGAGCCCGGGCCGCCTCGGGAGCTCTGGACGGCCCCCCGCAACCCCCGGTGAGCATCGATGGGGGGAACAGGCAGCGGCCCGCCTACCCCCCTCGGGACTACTCCGAGATAGAGAATCATGTTCCCGGGAAGCTCTCCGGGAGCATAATATTTGTTCGGCTCTCTTAAGAGGGGGGGCCTCTGGGGATTACCGAGGGGCGCCTTTTGGCCTTGTCGGCAAACCTATTGGAAACATGGTTGGGGCGGTTGGCGGAAATGTTCCCGGAAAGCTATCTGGGAAATACGATTTACCGAGGTGTCTTGGGGGCCAGCAGAGGGCTTCCCTGGGGGCCCCTTGGGAGCCTATTGGGGCTTCCGGGGGGCCTCTTGGGAGCCTCACGGGGCTTCTTGGGAGCCTCTTGATGGCCTCCGGAGGCGTCCTAGGAGCCTCTCAGGCCGGAGACCTTGAAATGTCGCGCTCTTCGGGCCCTCTTGGGTCGCTCTTGGGGCTCTCTTGGCGCTCTCGAGGCCCTCTTGACATATCTGGGGAGCCTCCTGGGCCGTCTCTGGGCTTTCTTGGGAGCCTCTTCGGCCGTCTTGGAGCGATCTGAAGGGCCTCTGACGCGGTCCGGGACCGTGGGGAGGTGGAACATGGGAGAGCGCAAAAATGCTTCAAAAACCATTGGAAATGTATGATTTTCGGCTTCGGGGCGTTTTGGCGGCGTCGTCGGCCGTCCTGAGGCCATCTTCGGCGTGTCCGGGGCTTCTGGGGGCTGTCTTTGGGCGTCCTGGGAGCCCGGAAATCATGTTCCCAGAGAGGCTTCCGGGAACATGATTTCGAACGGGGCCTTTTCGGGCCCCCCTGAGGCCGTCTTAGGGGCCTCCTGGGCCAACTTATTCGGGGCCTCTTGGGCCGTCTCGGGGGGTTCCGTCAGCCCCACAGCACTATACCCTTTTGGGCCGTCTTGGGCCCTCTTGGGTCTCTCTTGGGCTGTCTTGGGGCTCCTCGGGGGCGTCTGGGGCACTGCGAAGACGAGTTTTACAATGGAAATGTGCCGATTTGTGCATCTTGCAGGCCCTCTTGGGCCCTCTTCAAGCCATCTCGGGCCCTCTGGGGCCTCGCTGAGGCTGTCTTGTGGGCCTTTTAACTTAGGCGTCCTGGAAACCCGGAAATCATGTTCCCGGAGAGGCTTCCGGGAACATGATTTCGGACGTGGCTCTCTTGGGCCTCTCTGAGGCCGTCTTGGGAGCCTCCTGGGCCGGCTTCGGGGCCTCTTGGGCCGTCTTGGGGGGGTCCGTGAGCCCCACAGGACTACCCTTTTGGGCCGTCTTGGGCCCTCTTGGGTCTCTCTTGAGCTGTCTTGGGGCTCCGCGGGAGCGTCTGGGGCACTGTGAAGACGAAGCCAGCGAGTATGCTGTAAATGTACGTTTTACGATGGAGCTGGGCCGATTTGTGCCTCTTGCAGGCCCTCTTGGGGCCCTCTTCGGCCATCTTCAAGCCATCTCGGGCACTCCTGGGCCTCGCTGAGGATGTCCTGGGGCTCAGTGGGGGGCCCTTGGAGCCCGGAAGTCATGTTCCCGGAGAGGCTTCCGGGAACATGATTTCGAACGGGGCCCTCTTGGGCCTCCCTGAGGCCGTCTTGGGGGCCTCCTGGGCCGGCTTCGGGGCTTCTTGGGCCGTCTTGGGGGGGTCCGTCAGCCCCACAGGCCGACCCTTTTGGGCCGTCTGGGGCCCTCTTGGGTCTCTCTTGGGCTGTGTTGGGGCTCCGCGGGGGCGTCTGGGGCACTGTGAAGACGAAGCCAGCGAGTATGCTGTAAATGTACGCTTTACGAAGGAACTGGGCCGATGTGTGCCTCTTGCAGGCCCTCTTGGGGCCCTCTTCGGCCATCTTCAAGCCAGCTCGGGCCCTCCTGGGCCTCGCTGAGGATGTCCTGGGGCTCAGTGGGGGGCCCTTGGAGCCCGGAAGTCATGTTCCCGGAGAAGCTTCCGGGAACATGATTTCGAACGGGGCCCTCTTGAGCCTCCCTGAGGCCGTCTTGGGGGCCTCCTGGGCCGGCTTCGGGGCCTCTTGGGCCGTCTTGGGGGGTTCCGTCAGCCCCACAGGCCGACCCTTTTGGGCCGTCGGGGGCCTCTTGGGTCTCTCTTGGGCTGTGTTGGGGCTCCGAAAACGCACGTTTCACAAGGTAAATGGGCAGATTTTTGCATCTTGAAGGCCCTCTTTTGTTTCTTCCATCCCCGACTCTTCCACTCAGTCGCTCAAATCAAAGGTTCAGCGCGACATGCCAGATGATGACATACACTCATAGGAAGATTAAACATAAAAAGTAAAAAAGGGTATCGCCAGCATGCCCAGGTGCATTGACGAGCACCACCGCCAACAAATTGGGGCAGACATCAACGGGCCCAGGCCTCATGCTGGGCTTCTGCAGGATAGCGGTCGCGCCGAGGCGATCGCTTCGCGCTTTGTTTGAACAAGGGCAAAGTCACCATGCTGCTGTCACTTCGGAAAGGGGCAGGAGACGGGGGGAGGAGAGGGGGGGAGGGACAATTGAAAAAGAGAGGGAGACGAGGGCACTGGACAGTGGGCATGGCATGACTGGCCGGAAAGGGAAAAGTCTCCAGGATAGACCATGCCCGGGCGGAGCAGGAAAGGGGGAGACGGCGGAAACGCCGCGACTGGTTCCCAAACCAGTGCGCGGGCGTGTGGGCCACGCACCAACGTTACTACATAGTATATGCATGCAGGGGCCATGCCGCTGCACGGCCTTCATGTTCGAAGACCCTGAGCGGTTCGAGCGCCCCGTCGGCTGCAAAGCCTGTGGGCAGACACAGTGCCCCTCAGAGGGGCGGGAAGCCTCTCGGCGGCGCGGGGCCGGGCCGCGAGAGGAAGGCGTGGGCCTTGGCCTTTCGAGAGGTCGGCCGGGCCGCGGGGTTCATGACCAACAAAGTTTGGACCAAGTCCATCCCAGCATCGCCGAGCTCTGGGCGCTGGTCGTTTATCGTCTTGAGGCCCGTGGGCGGCCAGCTCGGATAGCTGGGCTTCCAGAGCGACAGGCACTGCTCGAAGCCTGGCCAGGTCGCCTCGGTGGGGGTGCCCAGCAGCTGCATGATCTGGACGATTGTGCCAATCTCGGAATCCCCAGGGAATATCGGGCAGCCAGTGGCGATCTCGGCAAGGAGACATCCCGCAGACCAGATGTCCACCGGCAAGTCGTAGCTGGGATGCCCCAGCAAAATCTCTGGGCCGCGATACCACAGGGTGACGACATCCCGGGTGTAGCTCTCGACCCTGCGCGAGGACATGCGGGCCAGGCCGAAGTCGCAAATTTTGAGGCCGTCAATGGGATGGACGAGGACATTCTGCGGCTTGAGGTCACGATGAATCACCATCTGTGTGTGGCACGCGTGGATTCCGTTGAGGAGATCTTGCCAGTACAGCACGACCTTCTCCATGGGCAGCTGGGTGCCCTTCCTCCAGTAGCACCTCAGAACCCGGTGCAGGTCGTCAGGGATGTACTCGAAGATCAGCTCGAACCCGTCCAGGCCGACGATTTGCAAGTCCTTGAGCTTAACGATGTTCGGGTGGACGCAATCGCGCAGCAGCGACACCTCGCGGATGACGTTCGCGGGCACACCGTTCTGGCCAGCCTTGACGTTCAATCGCTTGAGCGCCACCCGGTCGTTGGTCTCGCGGTCCCTCGCCAGGAAGACCGTCCCGAAGACCCCCGAGCCGACCACGTGCAGGGCCTCGTACCTGAGGGGCATGGCGGCGTCCGCCCGACCCGGCCCCTGCGTGCCGGGCTGCGGCTCTGGCCGCTGGCCTCCCCGCGCCTGTGCCGCGCGCCCCCGCGGCGCAAACGGGCTCCTCTGCCTCGCCGACGACGGTGCTGCCCGGGAGGGCGGGGCCAGCCGTGGCCGCGGTGGGCAAGGCAGGGGCTTCCTTTGCGCAGATGATGGCGCGTGCTGGGGCGTCGTGCCCAACTACCAACACGAGCGTGAACGGTGCGCGCCAGCAGCCAGCTTGAGCCGAACTTGAGCCAAAATGGCCACGGACCTCTTGAAGGCCCTCTTGGGGCCCTCTTCGGCCATCTTCAAGCCATCTCGGGCCCTCTGGGGCCTCGCTGAGGTTGTCCTGGGGCTCAATCGGGGGCCCTGGGAGCCCGGAAGTCATGTTCCCGGAGAGGCTTCTGGGAACATGATTTCGAACGGGGCCCTCTTGGGCCTCCCTGAGGCCGCCTTGGGGGCCTCCTGGGCCGGCTTCGGGGCTTCTTGGGCCATCTTGGGGGGTTCCGTCAGCCCCACAGGCCGACCCTTTTGGGCCGTCTGGGGCCCTCTTGGGTCTCGTTTGGGCTGTGTTGGGGCTCCGCGGGGGCGTCTGGGGCACTGTGAAGACGAAGCCAGCGAGTATGCCGAAAACGCGCGTTTTACTAAGAAAATGGGCCGATATTTGCCTCTTGAAGGCCCTCTTGGGGCCCTCACGGGCCCTCTTGGGGCGCTCTTGGGCGTCTTCGGGGCCTCTTCAGGCTTTCGTGACCATCTGTACGGCCCGCGTGGCCTGTCGTGGGCAATTTGGAAGCGGCCTGGGGCAGTCCCGGGGGGTCTGTGACTTAAGGTTCGGGGGGGCCGCCATGGGGGATGACGGCACCGATTTTGGCCCCCCCCCCCCCCCCCCCCGGCCTATTCAAAGATATATACTCAGAGATATCGGAGGTTGGGGGTGAGATCGAAGTGGAACGGAGAGCCCCCCTACCGGGAAATCGATTTCGGTTTCGTGCGTGCCGTGCGTGCAGGCGAGGCGAAGCTGCGTGGGCGGGCGAGAGAAAAACTCCTGTGGCTGAGGCGCGGCCGGACCAAATGACTCCCTTCCGGCAACCGGTGCCGCGCGGTGTCCCGCCGGTGTCCAGCTGTGGCTGAGGCGCGGCCGGACCAAATGACTCCCTTCCGGCGTCCGGAGACCCGCGGTGTTCAGCCGGTGTCCCGCCGGTGTCCCCTCTGTGTCCCGATGATGACGGTGATGATGATGATGCCGATGATTATGATGATGATGGTGATGATGGTGATGATGGTGATGATGATGACGATGATGATGATGATGATAATGATGATGGTGATGATGGTCAGGATAATGATGCTGGTGATGATGGTGATGATGATGGTGATGATGGTGATGAGGGTGATGGTGATGGTAATGATGGTGATGGTGGTGATGATAGTGATGATGGTGATGATGATTCCGGTGATGATGATGACGTTGATGATGATGATGATGATGATGATGATGATGATGGTGATGATGGTGATGATGGTCAGGATGGTGATGCTGGTGATGATGGTGATGATGATGGTGATGATGGTGATGAGGGTGATGGTGATGGTAATGATGGTGATGGTGGTGATGATAGTGATGATGGTGATGATGATGGTGGTGATGATGATGACGTTGATGATGATGATGATGATGATGATGATGTTGATGATGATGATGATTATGATGATGATGATGATGATGATGATGATGATGATGATGATGATGATGATGATGCGATGCGATGCGATGCGATGCGATCACCGTTGCGGACAGCGTCCGGGCCTAGAGCAGACCAGGTGGGTGAGGCCATGGCCTCTAGGATCTGAGGTGTCTGGATTCATGCAATGCGAGACATGTAAAAAGTTAGGAGGAGAGGGGGAGGAGGAGGAAAAGAAGGTCCTTGGTGTCGGTGTCGGCACGGGTTGGGCGAGACGTCTCGACGCTCGCAGAGATTTTACGTCATTGGTCTGAGTCCCGGGTGCTGGTCGACGTGAGGTCGGTGAAGTGGTGCTCGAGCGCTGTCCTTGCTTCGGTGTGGGCTGTTTGCGTCCATGTGATGTCGTTCGGTTGGCCTTTCGAATGGGCTTGCGTGGGCGGTCGGTGGAGGTCTGGTCTGCGTTGACGTAAGCAAGTGGTGATTTTCGTCGTGATGATGGTGATGATGGTGATGCTGGTGATGATGATGACGATGATGCTGATGGTGATGATGGTGATGATGGTGATGATGGTGATGATGGTGACGATGGTGATGATGATGGTGATGATGATTGTGATGATGGTGATGATGGTGATGATGGTGACGATGGTGATGATGATGATGATGATGACGTTGATAATGGTGATGATGATGATGATGATGATGATGATGATGATGATGACATGGATGTTGATGATGATGACGTCGATTGTGAGATCGATAGTGAGATCGATAGTGAGACCGAATGAGAGATCGATTGTGAGATCGATAGTGAGATCGATTGTGAGATCGATCGTCAGATCGAATGTGAGATCGATCGAATGAGATCGATAGTGAGATGGCGGTGCGTCGTCAGAACAACAATCACCACTGTTGCCCATTGTTCGGCCCCTCCCCCCCCCCAAACCTCCTTATCACCCGCAGGGTGGTCGTACAGGTATCGGAGGTTGGGGGGTGAGATCGAAGTGGAACGGAGAGCACCCCTACCGGGAAATCAATTTCGGTTTCGTGTTCGTGCGTGCCGTGCGTGCGGGCGAGGCGAAGCTGCGTGGGCGGGCGAGAGGAAAATCTCCTGTGGCTGAGGCGCGGCCAGACCAAATGACTCCCTTCCGGCAACCGGTGCCGCGCGGTGTCCCGCCGGTGTCCCGCTGTGGCTGAGGCGCGGCCGGACCAAATGACTCCCTTCCGGCGTCCTGTGGCCCGCGGTGTTCCGCCGGTGTTCCGCCGGTGTCCCGTCGGTGTCCCGATGATGACGGTGATGATGATGACGACGATGATGATGATTATGATGATGATGGTGATGATGGTGATGATGGTGATGATGATGATGATGACGATGATGATGACGATGATGATGATGGTGATGATGGTGATGATGGTGATGATGATGGTGATGACGGTGATGATGGTGATGATGATGATGATGACGTTGATGGTGATGATGATGATGGTGGTGGTGATGGTGGTGATGATGATGACGTTGATGACGTTGATGGTGATGATGATGACGTTGATGATGATGATGATGATGCTGACGTCGATTGTGAGATCGATTGTGAGATCGATAGTGAGACCGAAAGTGAGACCGAATGAGAGATCCATTGTGAAATCAATAGTGAGGTCGATGTGGGATCGATCGTCAGATCGATGGTGATGATAGTGATGATGATGATGATGATGGTGATGATGATGACGTTAATGATGGTGATGATGATGATAATGCTCTGGATGTTGATGTTGATGATGATGATGATGACGTCGACTGTGAGATCGATTGTGAGATCGATAGTGAAATCGATAGTGAGACCGAACGAGAGATCGATTGTGAGATCGATCGTCAGATCGATTGCGCGATCGATGGAATGAGATCGATAGTGAGATCCGGTGTCCCGCCGGTGTCCCGTCGGTGTCCCGAGGATGGCGGGGATGATGATGAGGATGACGACAATGATGATGATGATGATGATGATGATGATGATGATGATGATTATGATGATGATGATGATGATGATGATGATGATGATGATGATGATGATGATGATGATGATGCGATGCGATGCGATGCGATGCGATGCGATGCGACCACCGTTGCGGACAGCGTCCGGGCCTAGAGCAGACCAGGTGGGTGAGGCCATGGCCTCTAGGATCTGAGGTGTCTGGATTCATGCAATGCGAGACATGTAAAAAGTTAGGAGGAGAGGGGGAGGAGGAGGAAAAAAAAGTCCTTGGTGTCGGTGTCGGCGCGGGTTAGGCGAGACGTCTCGACGTTCGCAGAGATTTTACGTCATTGGTCTGAGTCCCGGGTGCTGGTCGACGTGAGGTCGGTGAAGTGGTGCTCGAGCGCTGTCCATGCTTCGGTGTGGGCTGTTTGCGTCCATGTGATGTCGTTTGGTTGGCCTTTCGAATGGGCTTGCGTGGGCGGTCGGTGGAGGTCTGGTCTGCGTTGACGTAAGCAACTGGTGATTTTCGTCGTGATGATGATGGTGATGATGGTGATGATGATGATGATGATGGTGATGACGATGATGATGATGGTGATGATGGTGATGATGGTGATGATGGTGATGATGGTGATGATGGTGACGATGGTGATGATGATGGTGATGATGATGGTGATGATGGTGATGATGGTGACGATGGTGATGATGATGATGACGTTGATGATGATGATGATGATGATGATGATGATGATGATGTTGATGTTGATGATGATGACGTCGATTGTGAGATCGATTGTGCGATCGCTTGTGAGATCGATAGTGAGACCGAATGAGAGATCGATTGTGAGATCGATAGTGAGATCGATTCTGAGATCGATCGTCAGATCGAATGTGAGATAAATCGAATGAGATCGATAGTGAGATGGCGGTGCGTCGTCAGAACAACAATCACCACTGTTGCCCATTGCTGGGCCCCTCCCCCCCCCCAACCTCCTTATCACCCGCAGGGTGGTCGTACAGGTATCGGAGGTTGGGGGGTGAGATCGAAGTGGAACGGAGAGCACCCCTACCGGGAAATCGATTTCGGTTTCGTGTTCGTGCGTGCCGTGCGTTCGGGCGAGGCGAAGCTGCGTGGGCGGGCGAGAGGAAAGTCTCCTGTGGCTGAGGCGCGGCCAGACCAAATGACTCCCTTCCGGCAACCGGTGCCGCGCGGTGTCCCGCCGGTGTCCCGCTGTGGCTGAGGCGCGGCCGGACCAAATGGGGTCCCTTCCGGCGTCCTGTGGCCCGCGGTGTCCCGTCGGTGTCCCGATGATGACGGTGATGATGATGATGATGATGATGATGACGACGATGATGATGATTATGATGATGATGGTGATGATGGTGATGATGGTGATGATGATGATGACGATGATGATGATGATGGTGATGATGGTGATGATGGTGATGATGGTGATGATGGTGACGATGGTGATGATGATGATGATGATGACGTTGATGATGATGATGATGATGATGGTGGTGGTGATGATGGTGGTGATGATGATGATGACGTTGATGATGATTATGACGTTGATGATGATGTTGATGTTGATGTTGATGACGTCGATTGTGAGATCGATTGTGAGATCGATAGTGAGACCGAATGAGAGATCGCCTGTGAGATCGATAGTGAGATCGATTGTGAGATCGATCGTCAGATCGATTGTGAGATCGATCGTCAGATCGATTGTGAGATCGATCGAATGAGATCGATAGTGAGATCCGGTGTCCCGCCAGTGTCCCGTAGGTGTCCCGAGGATGACGGTGATGATCATGATGACGACGATGATGATGATGATTATGATGATGATGGTGATGATGGTGATGATGACGATGCTGATGATGGTGATGATGGTGATGATGGTGGTGATGATGATGGTGATGATGGTGATGATGGTGATGATGATGATGATGTTGATGCTGATGATGACGTTGATGCTGATGTTGATGTTGATGATGATGACGTCGATTGTGAGATCGATTGTGAGAGCGAATGAGAGATCGTTTGTGAGATCGATCGTGAGATCGATTGTGAGATCGATCGTCAGGTCGATTGTGAGATCGATCGAATGAGATCGATAGTGAGATGGCGGTGCGTCGTCAGATCAACAATCACTACTGTTGCCAATTGCTGGCCCCCCCCCCCCAAACCTCCTTATCACCCGCAGGGTGGTCGTATAGGTGTGTATATATATATATATATGAATATTAGCACGGGGGTGAGCGAACCAGCTCACCAGCTGCATGCACGAGACTTCGTACAGCCTTTGTCGATCCCCCCTGTTCCTTCCGACGCGAGACGAGGCGTCGAGGGAGGAGCAGACGATTCCACGCCGATCTGCCGAGGCCACGGGGGCAGCTCCAAAAGCGCGCCAACGGGTGTGGGGGGGAGGGTGGCAGACGGATGGGCAAAAGGAACACACGCCGCTGGATCGGGAAGCCGGCCGTGGGGGGGAGGGTGGCAGACGGATGGGCAAAAGGAACACACGCCGCTGGATCGGGAAGCCGGCCGACCCGCTCGACTTGGCCTCCCCCGTGGACACCCGAGCGGCCCACACGTCCGCACCGTCTGGTACACTCGGCACACCACTGGCGCGAGAGACCGCCGCGATCGGCTCAAGAAGGCACGCAATGGCGGGTGCAGTCGGCTAGCCACCAGCGCGGGCCCCAGGACTATACACCACCACCACCACCACCACCACCACCACCACCACCACCACCACCACCACCACCACCACCACCACCACCACCACCACCACCACCACCACCACCACCACCACCTCCTTTCCTTCTCCCTCCTCTGCCCTCCTCTTCCTCTCTTCTTCCCTGGGAGAGGGAGGTGGTGAAGGAGGTGGTGGTGTACATTAGAGAGCCAGTACTTCCTAGCCCGCCCCAGCGCCTGGGCGGCAGCACACGGCCACGCGCGGCACCCGGCGCACCGCGCCCCCCACCGCGCGCGCACGAGCACCCGCAGGGCACCGCACAGAGCCCACGGAAACCCAGGAACAGCAGCCGCGAAGCGGTGCCGCCGCCCGAGCGGGCAAGGAGGGCGCGCCAGGCGAAACACCCCGCTGCCCGAGCGGGCCGCAGGCGTGAAACAGATTGCCACGCCACGCATCCACGAAGCCACCAAGGGGACAGCCGAGAGCCAGCTGCTTCCTCCAGCCCCGAAGCCCAACGGGTTTGGGGATCATGGGAAAAAAGGTCATCAGACATGAGGCGCCGCCGCGGCCTCAACCTTGTTTGTCGCTGGCCCTGGCGCGGCCGCTTGCCAGCAGCGTGCGCCCCAAAGGGACAGTTTCGCTTGAGACGTACTCGCAATGTGCCAGTAGTGGCTTGGTTGCGGCACGGTTTCGCCTGAGACGTCCTCACAAATTGCTTGGCTTGGATTGGTTTCGGCGCGGCTTCGCCTGAGACGTTCTCGCAACGTGCCTGGTTCGGCTTGGTTTCGGCGCGTTCTCGGCTGAGACATTCTCGCAACTTGCCTGGATGATTTCAGCGCTGTTTCGCTGTAGACGTCTTCAAAGCCTACATGGTTTGGCTCGGTTTGGGCGCGGTGTCGTTGAAGACCTCCACGCGCGATTTCCCTGTTTGGCCTGGCTTGGGCGCGGTTCCGCCAAAAACGTCTTCACGACATACCTGGCTTGGCCGCCGTTTCGCTTGAAGAGTCCTCACATGTTGCCTTAGTTTTTTCGACTCGGGGGTGAGCGCAGCGCCGCTCAGGAGAAAACGGGTGCAGGCTATGCGGTGCAAGCTATGTGAGGCAAGCCACATGGCGCCAGTTACGCGGTGCAATCTATGAAGTGCAAGCGAGGCGGCGCAAGCTATACGCTGCAGTCCATGTGGTCAAACGTATGAGGTGGAAGCTACGTTGTGCAAACCCACAGCGACTCCCCTCGATAACAAGTGGCTGGCTGCAAACTGCCGTTGGCCCGCGGAACGGCATCAGGAGAAAACCCTCCCGAGGCTATAGTATCACATCCACGAGGCCGGCGACGACGACGGCGACGAAGACGAGGGCGACAACGACGCGAAAGATGAGGACGACGACGACCCTACCGGGCGTGTCGTGCGGGCGGGCCTTAACAAGCGAATTGGGCGGACGGATCCAAGCGAGCGGGCCAGTACGAGCGGGTCAGGCGGGCGGACCCTAACAAACGGGTCGGGCGGGCGGGCCTTAACGGGCTGTCGGGACATAAAAGTAGAGCGCGATCCATCCAGCGCGACATCCGTGAGGACGACGACGACGAAGGTGACGACGACGACGACGAGGGCCACGACGACGCCGCCACAGACGATAGCGACGAAGACGACGAGGGCGATGACGACGACAGGGCCGACGAGGGTGACGACGACGCCGACGCCGACTAGGAGGGCGACAACTTCGAAGACGGTGAGGGCGAGAACGATCGCAACGGGCGGGTCGGGCGGGCCCTTGCGGACGGGCTGGGCGGGCGGACCCTTACGGGCGGGTCGGGCGGGCGGGCCCAAACGGGAGGGCTGGGCAAACAGATCCAAACGGGCGGGTCGGACTGGACCGGGCGGAATTTACAACAGAGTGCAAGCCATCCGTCCAGCGTGACATCACCGAGGCCGACGGCGACGAGGGCGACAACGACGACGAGGGCGACGTCGCCGACGACAACGAAGGCGACAATGACAACAAGGGCGACGACGACGCCGACGAGGACGACGACGAGGGTGACGACGACGACGCCGACGCCGACGAGGACGACGACGCGGGCGACAACGATATGACGACGACGACGATGAAGGCGACGACGACCCGAATAGGCCGTTCGGGCAGGCGGGCCCTACAGTCGGGCCGCTGAAATAAGGAACGCTGACTAAGGAACGAAGCCCCTTCTAGGCCCCAGAACCGCCTTCGTTCACGAGGAGTGCTGGAGGAACAGCCATGGCAGGGCCTAAGGAACGTCGAGCCCCTTCCGAACCCGAACTGTTCCTTGTTTCAGCATCTTCGCTGTAAAGGCGAGTGAGGTGGGCGCGGGCGGGTTGGGTCATAGGATGAACAGAAACGTGTCTCCAATTGCAAGCGCATCCATAACTAAAGTCTGCCCCGTCTTCAAGCGAAGCATGCAGGTTCAAATGTGCGAGCAGTAACTGTTGGGTGCAGAGCTGTACCTAGTCGGAGCTGGACCGTGTAGGCTTCACAACTGATGACAACCACCGCGCGTCTGAACTCCGTGAATCAACACGTAAACTTGGCATGAAAAAGACGAGGCGCAGTACCCCTGCCGTTTTGGCCCAGCTGGTGTCATCCTCCCTTCCTTCGTTCATGATCGTACGCCCGTCTTTGTCATCAGCTTGTTGATGGTCGTACTCGTTGCGTCGTCTCCGTCGGGTGCTGGCGCGGCGGCGCGGGCGAACCGCGATCCCGGCGCACACGGGCCAGAAGAAGAGCCTACCGCGCTTCGGATCGTCATCGTCCTCGTCCTCGTGGTCGTTGCAGCCATCGTCGTCGCCACAATCGTTGCTGTCGTCGCTGTCGTCGCGACCGCTGTCGTTCGTCGCAATCGTGGTCGTCACCGCCGCAGCGGCGGCAAAAGCGACAACAATCACGATCGCAATGGCAACAGTAACGGCGGAGGCGACAACGACGAGAGGGAGGCAGGAGTGGTGGTGGTGCAACGGTGGCATGACGGTCAGCGTGCGCTCGAACCGGGGAGGCAGGGGGAGGAGGGTGGGAGGCGGGTTGGAGAAGGAGAGGGTGATTTGATGAGGGAAGGGGGGGGGAGGGACACGGGAGGGAGGCAGGCTTGGCGCGCTCACGCAGGATCTAACATCCAACCCCTCCCGCCCATCCATTCCCGTTGAGCTGATGTGTCTTCTACCCGCCGACGCGTGCCATGGCGGACCTGGGGTTCCCAACAGGGCCCCATGGTGTCTTGGGCAATGGGAAAGGAGAGATGCGTACATTGGAGGGGGAGGTGACGGATGAGGAGGAGGAGGAGCAAGCGGGAAAGGAGGATGAGGAAAGACGAGGAGGAGGAGGAGCAAGCGGAACAGAGGGAGGAGGAGGAAAGAGAAGGACGAGGAGAAACAGCAACGCCAGGATCTGGAATGAGAGAAACGGGAGGGGGCAGGGTGACCAGGAGAAGGCGAGGGAGGGGAACGGGGCAAGGCAACAGCGACGAGGAAATTATCGGATCCAGAAGAACGGCCCTCGCAGGAGCGAAAGCGCGACTCTTCACGACGGGAGTAAACTGCCGATCCTAAAATGAAACCCGCGCTGGGGCAGCAACCCCGCTTTGAAACACCGAAAACGTTCGGATGATAGCACCATAACGCATAGGAAGTACTGACAGCCACTGAGCGTGCGAAACCAAAACATAATAGGAACAATCGATCAAAACAACTTTTTGGGGGCGGTCGATGAAAAAAAGTTTCGCCGGCCTCCGCGCCATCGCAATAGCAGGGTGGCGCGGCATGCAGACGGAGGGCGGACAATCCCGGGTTGTCTGGAGGCACGCGGGGGGGCGCGGGCTGACAATTCAGGGCGGGGGGGCGGGGGGTCAATTCAGAGCTGGGCAAGCAAAAGCTGGGAAGGACTTCGCGGACTGACGATTCGAATCCGCAGGGAACTATTCGAGGCCGCGGGGGGTGCTTGTGGCCAGCCCTGAATGGGAAGTAGAAATTTCTGATCCGCCAGTCCTGCGCGGAAGGCAGTCACTCTACGCCGCCTTCAGACAGTAACTTCCTTCCCCACCTCCTCTTCCTCTCCTCCCCTCCCCCTCCTCCTCCTCCTCCTCCTCCTCCTCCTCCTCTTCCTCCTCCTCCTCCTGATCCTCCTCCTCCTCCTTCCCCTCGCTTTTCTATCCCTTGTTACCTTCCCCCTGCTAATGATTGTTCCTCTACAGCTACTCAATATGAATACTACTACCCGCTCTCCCCTTATGCACTCTGGAAGATTGCCTGCACCCCTCCGCAAACCGTGCTGTGGATTACACGCAGGCGCTCATGTTTGTTTTTTCAATCGGAACGTGTTCGGCTCTTCCAAAATTTTGTTCCCGCTGTAACGCTGGCCTCCTTTTCGAGCTTCCGCGAGGTTCGAATCCTCCCGCGCTGTGTTTTTACACCGAAGATTGGGGGAATATGCTGTTCATATATACTGTTCAATCCGAACTTGTACGGTTCGTCCGACACGCTGCTCCCGCGGCAACGTTGGCCTCATTTTCAAGCTCCAACCGCCGTCCGCGAAGACGAGAGCCGGGCCGTTCTCAGGTTGGTTCTTAAGTCGGGGATGCAACAACTGCATAAGCATAAACGTTCGGCGGTCCTCCGTGGAATTCCTGGATCTGCGCTAGGACTCCCTAGAGGCACTTCCGGCGCCCCCTCTCCGCAATCCTCCTCCCGCGGCCACGGGTGATCAAACAAACGCAGGAGGACAACCAGAAAATCAGTTTCCGCAAGGCGGCAAAATAACACGTCTGCCCCACTCATTCATTTTGGGGCCCTCGGGGCGGGGGGTGGGGCGGGGCATTTTCTTCATCGCTTGCCCCGATTACGCAGAGGGGTGCGGGCCTCCCCGGCCATCCTCAGGGAAGAGAAGAGGATAGTAGCCATGTAGGATACCTGTGGAAAAGACGGGGCCGGGGGGCGGAGGAAGGGTGGAGGACTCTTTGCTGTCTGAACGACACGACATCGTGCAGCCCCGTGCGCCCTCGATGGTGGGCGAGACCATCGAAAGGCTAAACGAACAGTACAGGCGGCACGCGCCAGGAACCGAGACCAACATCCCAGCATCCACAGCGTGACCTAACGCATCAATCCGAGCCCGACTCCGATTCGGGCTGGCTTGCGCAAGCCCGCGAGCTCGCAGCTCCTCCTCCTGGAGAGGGGGGGGTCAAAGGAGGGCGTGACAGGGGTGCCCCCTCCTCCCCCTTCACTTGCTCACACCATGGCCCCGTGTCGACAATGACACCTCGGCGCTCGACCAAATCCCTCCCACTTGGCCACCGCCAGCGTAAAATCTACAACGCTAACACACATAAAAGTGGCACTGGAGCCGCTGGCGTCGAGAAGCAGCGTCCTGTGCCCCAGCGCCGACAAGGCAAGCGCATCGCATCCTCGAGCCGAGACGCCAGCGCATTCACGGCAAGTGCTCGGGCGCGGCTTGTCGCGCGACCGAGAACGCCGCAACCGAGACAACCACTGCCAAGACCTGCCCGTCCATGACAACGGATGCAACGGGCCATCCCTTCCCTCCGATCAGGCATTGGGACAGGAACTTCCTGAACATGCGGGTCCCTGTCCCGTCTCGGCCAGATGAGCATCAACTTGGAAGTCAAAAGACCGACAGCCGGGGCCACCGACAAGAATACCTCCAACTTCTTCAGGTCAGCTGGTGGCGGCCCAGGGTGCGAACTGAACCCGGACCCCGTCGATGCATCGACAATGCGGCTACCTTCGCGCACCTGCGCGTCCCAGCTATATCCGGCCCCTTCGAGAACTGCGTCCTCTGACACGAATATTGCCCCGATGCAGAGAAATGGTGGAAGTCGTCGCCGCTCTGGCAGCACAGGAATAAATTACAAGGACCACTAGACCATTGTTGGGCAATATGATGACCATGAAGCTCAACAGCCTGCGAAGTCAGGGGGCCGGGGGCCCAAGCGGGCCCCCTAACGCGTGCGATCTGGAAGCCTGAAGAGCGATGCCAGAGCGAGAGAGTCTAAGCGGGCCTCAGTCGGCACTGCCTTTACGAGTTTTTCTCACAGACGCTAATTACAATCTTAGGATTCAGGCCGCTCGAAGTCCAAAAAGCGGAAGACAAAACCAGATCGGCTAAGATCGGCGGCGCGCCCGCGGGAAGTGAGAAGGGGTGGGCCTTCTCAGAAGGCTCGGAAGTCCCCTGGCCTCCTGGCAAATGCTCTATGACCTCCCCGAAGACACAAACAACTTCTCGGAAGGCCGAAGGCCTCGGAGAAGCCCCGCCGCCTTCTGAGAAGGCCTTCTCATTCTCAATTCCGCCCTCGCTCGCCGCCGAGAAGAGAAACCGCGATGGGCTAGGAGGGAGGTGGGCGAGAGAGGTCCCAAACTCCTTGAAATACATACCGCGCGCACGCTGGCTGCGGCGGGCCAGCGCCCTGGCCCCAGCGCGAGCTAGCCCTTGCAGCACGGTGCCGCTGAATACTACGCGCGTGCTATCCAAGGCTGTGCAGACACTGACCCGGCTAGCCGTGGACGAGAAGGGGAGGAGGAGGAGGAGGAGGAGGAGGAGGAGGAGGAGGAGGAGAATGAATGCCAGTCCAGGCTGGCTGCGCCTACTGGGCGGGCCCCCGCGCTGCGGCATCACGGTTCTACCCTCCGGCTCGCCTGGGCAGGAGGGTCGAGCCCAACTTCCCAGCCGAGCCCAACCGTGGCAGCAGGAGAGGCGGGGGCGGGGGAGAAAGAGTGAGGAGGTCCGGGCTCGCCCGCCTCCTGCTCTCCAGGCCGGACATGAGGTTCATGCCGAAGGCCCCGGTCAGCAGGGCACCGAAGCTCAGGCCGCTGCCGATCACCTCAGTCGGGGCGATGCATTGCAAAAAAACCAAGGATTGCAAAAAACCCGAAGGATTGCAAACAAACCCTTCGTTTTTTTGCAATCCTTCGTTCAAGGTTTTTTTGCAATCCTTCGTTTTTTGGCAATCCTTCGTTGAAAGCCGCCGCCGCCACCGCCGTTGCCTGGCGTCGAGAGCACCCCCTCCCACCCGCCGCCGCGGGAGCGCCCGCCCGCCCGAGCGCGGGCAGGGCCTGCGCGGGCCCTTGCGGCGCGTACAAGGGGGTCCCTGGAGGTCTCCCGGAGGATGTGCGACCAGATGTGGTCGGGGGATCTCGCGCCGCACCGCCGATGCGTCGGCGATACCTCCGTGACAAGACGTCGGCGATGCATCGGCGATGTCGGCGTGGAAACAACTGGGCTCCACATCGAGCCGCATGGCCGATGCCACGGCCATGCGGCGCGATCCACCGCCCCCAGCTACTCCGACCCCAGTTGGGCGGCCTGGATGAGGAGAACAATTATCGTATTGGGAGGAAGAGGTTTGGAGGCTGAAGGGTATGAGCAATAGCATCTGGATGCAATGAACGATATCTTCGACCGCATGCGAGTCCCACCAGCCTTTTGGGCGTGAGTGGTTTAGCGAGCTCTCTCTGTTCTCAACCCCCTATCTTCCCCTTCGGGGAGGGGTTTACCCCTCCCCCTACCCCCTCCCCCTGGACCTGGATCGGGAGTTCCGAGCGTAGTCAGGGGGGTCTTTTTCGACGCCTGGGAGGGCCAAAAAACGACGACCCTCACGAGGATTCTGGCCCCGAGGGGGGGGGGGGGAGTTTGGTGCCTCAGCTCGTCTTTGAAGCACAAATCATTGATTTTACTACGGTTTTGGCCCCATTTTGGCCTTCTGAGGGGGCCGCGTTCCCCTTCCTTCATAGCAAAATCATTGATTTTACGAAGGTTTTGGGCTCATTTTTGTCAAATCAGGGGGCAACGCTCATTTGCGCTTCTGAGGAGGTCGCAAGAGGCTCCAAGATGGACCCAAGAGGCCCCCAGGAGGCTCCCAAGAGGCCTCCAGGAGGCCCCCAAGAGGCCCCCAAGAGGCCCCAAGAGGTCCCCAAGAGGCTCCCAAGAGGCCCCCCAGAGGCCCCAAGAGGCTCCAAGAGGCCCCCAAGACGCCCCCAAGGGGCCCCCAAGAGGCCCCCAAGACGCCCCAAGAGGCTCCAAGAGGCCCCCAACAGGCCCCACGAGGAGCTCGAACGACTCACACCAGGACGAGAGACCCCAACGACTCACACCACGAGGAGCCCGAACGACTCACACAAGGAGGGGCCCGAGCGACGTACACCAGGACGAGCGGTCCGAACGACTCACACCAGGATGAGGGGCCCGAACGACTCACACCATGAGGAGCCCGAACGACTCACACACAAGGAGGGGCCCGAACGATGCACACCAGGACGAGGGGCCCGAACGACTCACACTACGAGGAACCCGAACGACTCACACACAATGAGGGGCCCGAGGCACTCACACAAGAAAGGACGAGGCCCCTCAGAGGCCCCCAAGACGCCCCCAGAGGCTCCCAAAAGCCCCCCAAGAGGCCCCCAAGAGGCCCCCAAGAGGCTCCACGACGCCCCCAAGAGGCCCCACGAGAAGACCGAACGACACAACCCAGGACGAGGGGCCCCAACGACTCACACCACGAGGAGCCCGAACGACTCACACACAAGGAGGCGTTCCAACGACTCACACCAGGACAAGGGGCCAAGAGGACCCACGAGGAGGCCGAGCGACTCCTTCCAGGACGATTCACCCAAGCTTACAGATTCACCCAAGCCTTCGGAAATTTAACCAACGGGTTCACCCAAACCTACAAACCCGAGGCCGTGCCATCGTGAAACGCATTCCGTCTCGACTTCCTTGGGGCGTTTTTCAAGCCCTCGCACGAAATGTATGAGCCTCCTGAGCCCTCCTGGGCCTTGGGCGTTTTTAACCGAACAGTTCACGTTAAATCCTGCAAGAACGCACGAGAAGAACTCCGATAACGAGAAGGAAAAGAAAGACGAAAGGCGGAACGACCGATTCAAATTCTACCAGGGACCACCTGTGCAATATGTTTACAGATAATGCCTTGAATTGCTTATCGCGGCGAATTGCGTTATACTCATTCTTGCAGTCACTGGCGAACACGGAGACGCATGGGGCTCGCTAGCAACGTGACCAGGCGTTTCCATGAAAGCGACATTACACATGCGCTTGTACATCGCTCTGACGATTAACACGCACAGAACGGCACAACCGACTCACACCAAGACGAACGTCCATAACGAGTCACACCACGAGGCGCCCGAACAACTCACACACAGGGAAAACCCCGCACAACTCCCACCAGGACGAAAAGGCTCGAACCACTCACGCCACGATGAGCCCCACCGGCCCACACGCAAGGAGGAGCCCGAACCACTCACACAGGGACGTGGAGGCCGAAGGACTCACACCACAAGGAGCCCAAACGAGTCCCACAGAAGGAGAGGCCCGAACGACGGAAAACCAGGAGAGGAGACCACATCAGGAGGAGGCGCCCGACCTGGTCACACCCGTAGGAGCCCGAACGACTCCCCCGCAGGAATCGCCAACGGACTTTAGTGTCATTTATCAGCCGTTCAACACTTAGACACCATGTGAGAACCCTGGACATATCTAAAACAGGAACAATCACAATTGTGTATAATACTATACCCTGAATTTCGAAAAACGGTCACCACGGTGGCAACCTGAGAAAAAATGAACCACAAGCCACTACATAGACTTGGCGAGATAGGCCGACACACATGCTGATACCCTCGAGCTCTGGACTACCTGCATGCCCCCTCAACACATTCTGCTCTTGCAAGAGTTCCGAGCGTTCAATCTGCCGCAGAACTTGAGAGAAGACCGCACACGATTCAACATGACACAACACAATGAACACAACATAACATTTCTTAAACGTGGCACTCACGAATCGCCAACGTACTTCAGTGTCAATTATCTGCCGTCCAACAGTTAGCCACCCTGTGACAACCCTGGAAATATCTGAATCTGGAACAACCACAACCGTCTATCATACTATACCCTGAATATCGAAGAAGCGTCACCACGGTGACAACCTAGACCGCAAGCCCCTGGATACGCTGAGACACGTACACCGCGAGCCACTACATAGACTAGGCGGGATATGCCGACACTCATGCTGATACCCTCGAGCTCTGGAATACCTGCATGCCCCCTCAACACATTCTACTCTTGCAAGAGTTCCGAGCCTGCTACCTGCTGTGTTTTTTCTTCGTTTTCCCATGAGACAAGACGGTGCAATTCAGCCACCACGTTGCGTAACACTCGACGCATCAACTGCACACGAGCGCGCCACACGAAACTTGGAACTTCGACTCTCAGACCTCCACATGGGCCGGATCGACGTCCAAAGGAAAAGTGGCGGGCCCCCTCACACCCTTTGGAAGAGGAGGAGAAGAACGTTCCACTTCAGTATATTTCTTTCTGTGCCTCCATAGTGTGTGTCTCTACGTATTTGATGTGTGAACGCGTATGTTTTGTATGTTTGCGTGTATATGTATGCGAAGAATGAATGCCCCCACGCGGCAATGAGGACGGCTCGCGCAGACAGAAGCTGGAGAGTGGCGCGAGTCTGACACATCTCGCGATGACCCCCGCGCCTGCAGGCCACCGACCGCAAGCCGCAACGACGTCCTGCTGAACGAAAGCGGGGCGAATGGAGAAGGATATGTCATGCATCATAAACAAAAGTGGCAAACTCGTAACCGTGATGAACTACGCGCAGTACTTTCGCAACACAGGCACCTCGTGCCAAAGCACAGTAGGCGCGTGCGTTCGGCTCGCAAGCCAAATCACCATTGACGTCGTGGTCGTCGTCAACGTCGTTCTCTCGATGTCGTCGTGATGGGCTGAGCTACGCTCACTGACCCTCGTGGCGTAGGCCTGCCCATCACGTGCCAGCCCATGCGAACCTAACTACATCGCGCCGGATGCACTGTCGAACCTTAAAATGATGCAAGAATGCCGACCACCGACATTCTCCGTGACACTCCAAGGAGCTCCCGTAGCGAGGAAAAATACAAAAAACGCACGGGCGCTTCTTCATGCCAGCCGCAAAAATGGTGCTAGTAGGCGGAGACGATTACTGAAGGCGGAGCGCAGCTCACGGCCACCCTGAAATACTGAAGCAAGAATGGCAACGACAACGACGCTGGTCGGGAAAGATCGCTGGACTCGACGACGACTCGACGACGACTCGCACTACTTCTGCTCTCCCCACAGCGAACTACACAGAAGCACGCATGCACCAAACGACTGAGTGCGTGCTTCGCTGGAATTCGTGTTCGGAGATAATACTATTAGTAATGCTTCTACATCGACTACTACAACTACTGCTACTACTACTACTACTAGTACTGCTACTACGACTCCTAGTAGTACGACTACTACTACTACGACGACGAGTAGTATCACTACTGCTGCTACTACTTGTAATGCGACGGGGGCTGTAACTGCTACTCCTGCTTGAACTACTACGAGCACTACTACTTCTACGACGACAACTACTTCTACTAGCACTGCTACTAGTAATATCGCTGCTACTGCTACTACTACTGCTACCACTACTCCTGATACTGCAAATACTACGAATACTACTCATACTACTTCATCTGCTACTCGCACTTCTACTCATGGTACTCCCCCTACAACTACTATTCCTACTAGTACTACGACTACACCTACTACTACTACTACTACTACTACTACTTCTACTACTACTACTACTACTACTACTACTACTACTACGACTGCTCTACTACTACAATTACTCCTACTCCAACTACTACTACTACGACTAAGACTGTTATTGCTACTCATACCACTACTACTGCTACTACTACTACTACTACTACTACTACTACTAATAATACTAATACTACTACGACTACTACTACTACAACTACAACAACTACTACTACTACTACTACTACTACTACTACTACGACTACTACTACTGCTACTACTGCTACTACTGCTACTACTACTACTACCACTACTCATTCTACTACGCCTCACATCACGAGGAGCCCGAACGACTCACACCAGGACGAGGGGCCCGAACGACTCACACCACGAAGAGCCCGAACGACTCACACCAGGAGGAGGGGCCCGAACGACTCACACCAGGACGAAGCGCCCGAACGACTCACACCACGGGGAGCCCGAACGACTCACACCAGGACGAGGACCCCGAACGACTCACACCACGAGGAGCCCGAACGACTCACAGCAGGAAAAAGGGCCCGAACGACTCACACAAGGACGAGGAGCCCGAACAACTCACGCCACGAGAAGCCCGAACGACTCACACCACGAAGACCCCGAACGACTCACACCAGGAAGAAGGGCCCGACAACTCACACCAGGACGAGAGGCTCGAACGACTCAAACCACGAGGAGCCCGAACGGCTCGCACCAGGACCAGGGGCCCGAACGACTCACACCACGAGGAGCCCGAAGGACTCACGCCAGGAAGAGGGGCCCGAAGGACTCACACAAGGACGAAGAGCCCGAACGACTCAAACCACGAAGACCCCGAACGACTCACACCAGGAAGAAGGGCCCGACAACTCACACCAGGACGAGAGGCCCGAACGACTCAAACCACGAGGAGCCCGAACGGCTCGCACCAGGACCAGGGGCCCGAACGACTCACACCACGAGGAGCCCGAAGGACTCACGCCAGGAAGAGGGGCCCGAAGGACTCACACAAGGACGATAGGGCCGAACGACTCACCCCACGAGGGGCCCCAACGACTCCCACCAGTCGTCGTCGTCGTCGTCGTCGTCGTCGTCGCCGCCGCCTTCGTCGTCGTCGTCGTCGACGTCGTCGTCGTCGTCGTCGTCGTCGTCGTTGTTGTGGTCGTCGTCGTCGTCGCGGTCGATATCGTCGTCGTCGTCGGGTGCGTCGTCGTTGTTAGGATCATCGCTGTGGTCGTCGTCTCCGCTAAATCCCTCTTGCCTCCCACCGTTTTCTCTCCCTCCTCCTCCGCCTCGTCCTTCTCCCGCTCCCACCACAAGAAGGATGTAGAAGGAGGCGGAGGAAGGAGGAACAGGGGAGATATGCGGGGGCAAGCGGAAACACGCCTGAAAAACACGACTGCCCGCATGCTTCGCAAGACTTGCTGTGTTGAGATGGGCTGGTGGGGATACGCGAAGCGTGAAGAATTATGATAACTATCCTCCGCTTTCCCAACCCCATCCTCCAAGCCCGATAATTGTCTTCCTGACTGGAAGGAGGGGGTCACAAACGTGTTCGCGTCGTGAACACGTCGAGGCGGGCATTTGTTGTCGGCTGGCTTCGGCCCTGGGCACCGTCAGGAGACGACCCGAGGATGAAAAGCAGGAGCACCCATGGGGGAGGGGCCCAGACCTCGGGGGAGGCCGCGTCCGACTCGGCTGGCGGCGCGCCACAGGGAGCAGGGTGGGAACAGCCATCATCGAACGACGGGGCCGGGCCGATCGGATCATGCATCGGATCGTCGGGAAATCGGAATCGGATCGTCGGGAATCGGATCGGATGGACGGAATCGGATCGGGAATCGGATCGGATCGGGAATCGGATCCGCATCTGGACGGAATCGGATCGTCGGGAAATCGGAGCCGAATCAGCCGAGCCGCCGGGCGGGATCGATATCGAACCGGATCGGCCGGGTCGACATGAGCCCTAAGGGGGGGTCGACCGTCTGAGAGGGCGGGGAGGCTGCCTGGGAAGCAGGGGCCTCCTGAGAATCGCCTGGGTGTTTCCAAGGAGGCTTCTCAGAAACCAGGAGAGCCTTCCGAGACCTATCCTCCTCTCCTCTCCTCCATAACTCCCCCCGACCTCCTCCTCGGGCCGCCCCCCCCCCCTCCTCTCCCTGCCTGCTTAGAAGGCTACCACAGTCGCGCCACCCCATTTGTGCGCGCCGCCCGGGGAGGGCAACGCCGTTCCTATATACAAGCGGGGCTCGTGCGGGCATCCGAAAGGTCAGGGCATGCCGCCAACGCATTGTCAGCGCAAGCCACCCGCCGGAGAGAGAGCGCTGCCGCCAGGGAAAAGCCCCGAGACTTCATCAGGGACCGACCGCCCTGGCATTCCTATAGACCTACCACGAAGGGCTCTTAGAACGAACGCATGTTCCAAGAACGAAGACATTGACCCTAGAACATCGCATCGATGTATTGAAACAGGACGGCCTCAGCCAGAAATGTTCTGGAACACTTCGCGCGAACCACGTACGGTCCTTAGCCATTCTATGGTGGGCCTACACGTCGTTCATTTCTAATCGAGCTCATGTCTATTTGTGCTCGTTTCGAATTGTTCCTGGTCCCCCAGTGGCCAGGAAGAGGCCCAGGATAGAACAATTAGAAATGAAAGGATATTGGCCCCCCAAAAAATCAAAGACCTCTCGAAGAATTAGAGATGAGCAGTGTGTATGTATGCAAGTCAGGACGCTTCACCAGCTGCTTGGCAGACCCGGGCGACGCACGAGCCTCGCGACGGGCAACCTCTTCGAGGCTCCGCGGCAACCTGTCCGAGGCCCCGCCTCTTCTGGGGCCGTTTTGGGGCCGCCCCGAGGCTCCGCCGATCAGGGACCTGTGGCAGCGAGCAGGTTCTGACCGTCGATCAATATCTTCTCGATGGCAGATCAGAAGACGAAGTCGCGACCACGAGAGCTGATCGCGACCAAAACTTCTGGATCGGACCCCGATCATATTCAGATCGTCAGTCAACATACTCGATCACCGGTCAGAAAACGCAGCCGCGACCACGACAACTGATCGCGATCACACCTTCTGGATCAAAGTTTTGATCGCTGATCAGACCACGGCCGCGAACGCGAAAACTGATCGAGATCACGATTCACTGATCGGGGAGAGATCAGTTTCTTATCGTCAGTCAGAGATCTCATCGTCGATCTGCAAACGCCGTCGCGACCACGAAAACTCATCGAGATCACAACTTCTGGATAGGATCACGATCAAGTTTGTACTGTCGATCATGTTTTTGACCGTCGATCAGAAAACGGATATGCGACCACGGAAACTATCACGAAATCTGAATCGGACCGCGATGAATTTCTAGATCGCCGATCAGAGAGCAGAACCGCCACCAAGAAAACTGATCGCGATCACAACTTATGGATTGTACCACGATGAATTGTTGATCATCGGTCAAATTGTTTATCGCCGAGCAGAAAACGCAGCCGCGGCAACGAAAACTGATCGCGATCACAACTTCTGGAGCGAACTGGGGAAATACGACATTAAATACCACCCGCCGCAAGCTCCGCACATGCATTCTGAGGGGACTGGGAAGCCGTCACCAATATTCGGATTCCTACCAGAGTCGTCTCACCAATACCTTTCCACTCAGAAATGAAAACCGATCCGGTCCGCTCCTCGCTGCAGAATCTTCGCCCGGGGGATGGCGACCCCATACCCTCGACATTGTGGGACTTTCGACTGGACCAGAACATTTGGGTCCCAACTCGGGGATGCACCAGTGGGGGAGCGTCCACCCTCGATCGGTGTGCGACCAAGCAGCCCCCCGGGGGCGTATCCCCGAGTTTCCCTTCGCTTCCGAGCGGCATTTTTTGACGGGGAGCTCGCGGATGATCGAAATCGCCTGCGATTCTCGAGCCCTCTCTCATGGGAAGAAGGGGGGTGGAGATCAAGGAGAGGGCTGGGAATCAGTTCCTCCTCAGAAGGGGGGCTCCTCAGAAGGGGGGCTGGGAATCTTCCAGCGGGAGATAGGAGGAGGAGATCGAGAAGGAGGAGATCATGGAGATCCTGGAGCCCTCCTCAGAAGGGGGGCTGGGAATCAGTTCCTGGAGATCTTCGGAAGCGCGCTCCGATCAGGATCTCAAGGCGGATCCAGGCGTGGCGACGAGGGGTCCCAGGAAGCCTCTCAAAAAGGCACGAAAAGAACATCACCATCAAATTGCCGCCGCCTCCTCCTCCTCCTCCTTCTCCTCCTCCTTCCCCTGCCCAAATCAAGACAAAACACATCGACATCAACTTACCTCGCCCTCCTCCTCCTCCTCCTCCTCCTCCTCCTACTCCTCCTGCTCCTCAAATGAAGGTGGGCTGGAGCGGCACGTCCAAGTAGATTCCGAGCTTCTCCAGCTCCAGCCTCCTGGAACTGAGACTCAGCGACATGGACGTCTCCAAATCCTCGGGACGGCCCGAACGCGTAAGCTCGAAGTATCATGCCGTCTCAGAGCTTATTATTATTTTATTTCCTGAATTTCTCCTCTTCAGGCATGCAACATCAAGAAGCGAACGATGCAATCAACCTAACCTTCTGTGCGCTCAACGGGCTGCATGGTTTGAGCGGGAATAATGGCACCAGGAAGCATGATATGCTTGTTCGATTGCATGTTCCGGGGGCAGCTCGATGAGCCCAGATGTTATCACATGGGGCTGTGCCTAGTAAGTGGCAAATGCTGTCACTAGTCCGCGCGGTGGTGGGGAAAGAGCACTGGCGCTACACCCTTCCGAAGGCACATCCTAAATATCTGAAAAACTGCTATGCGAGATTACTGAACGCATTCTCACGCGCGCGCGTGCCAGACATCCACCCGTCCGATTGCAAATTGCTGTAATGCCATGGAAGAGCCGATTCGACTCTCACGTCAACGCGCCTCGCATTATGTACCAGCTTGGGGCTCCCAACACGAAGCGCGAACAACTGCACAAAAACGGCACAACCAAACATGGAAGCACGGGCCATGCTGCCCTGTTCCGTGAAATTGCCCTGCACGCCGCACGCCATCGACTCTGCTTTGCTCTCTCCTCCTCTCGCCTCCCCCATTCATGTTCAAATCACTCCTCTCATACACTCCCCTCCAACACTCTCCCCTCCGATCCCCTCTCCTCTTCTCTCCCCTTCCAGTGTGTTCCCCTCCGATCCCCTCCCATCTACTGTGTCTTTGTACATAATATGTTCAACTTCTTCTCTCCTTTCCCTTCGCTTCGACCTTCTCCTGTCTTGCTACCCGCTGTTTCTCTTCAGTGTGATGTTCTCCTCCTATCCCTGGCACAAGTTTACCTGAACACGCAGAAATTGCTTCGGTAAGTTGTGGGATCGTTTGGGAAAGCCTTGGCCTTGCACAAATGCGTTCTAAGGCTAGGGATCCGTTATGTTCGCGGCTCGTCCATTCGTCCTCCCCCAATCCCTCCCTTCTCCATGCCCCCGACCTGGTCCTCCCCCAGGGCCTCCCCGTGGTTCACCCCCCCCACCCACCTGGCCCACGGCTCCAGCGTTCAGGAGCCAAGGCACGCGTGCTACTCACTTTGCTTCGGGCAGTCCCTACCAAGGAGTTCCAGCACTTCAGGATCAGTGTGCTCCTGGGGTACGTTGTTGCCTGTTCGTATGTCGTTGGTGTCTGATGTTGGCGTCTGTTGCTGGTGTATGCTATGTGGTTGGCGCGTGAGTCCGTGGTGTAAGCATGTTTGTTCACTTGCGTGTGCTACAGGACGTGCTACGGATGATTGGTGCAGATGTATGTCACTGAAGCCAGTTCTTGGCGCTCGCCATTGACGCGTATGATAGATGTATGCTACAGGTGTCGGTGATTGGTCGGTCATTGACGTCGGCGCTTCGTGTGGTAGTCGTGCGTGGTACTGATGAGCGTTATTAGCGCATGGTGTTGATGCCCCTTCCTGGGGCATAGTACATGATGACGTGTGCCCTGAATGTGTATAGTTGGTGCATGCTCTTGGCGAAATATCTGGGTGCTTGTATGTGACGCATGTCGTTGTTGTAGGTTCCCAATGCCTGGTAGGAATATCCGTTGCTTGTCAAATTGCCATGTGCGTGTGTATCCTTACTGGTGGTGGCTGTGCGGTGCATATGCTGCGTGTAGTTACGTGGTGGCTATCCTGGTGTATATTCTTGCAGTATGCCCCTGGCGACTGGTATTGGTGCCAATGCTTGGCGTGTGTTTGTGGTGTGGGTTATAAGCGCATTGTCGTGATGAACGTGGCCAACGTGTGTGCGTGATCTCTGTACGTTGTGTATGTGGGTGCTATATGATGTTGGTGGCTGCTGTCGATGTCGCGTATTGGTACATGCTACCAACGTGTGGTACTGGTGGATGTTATTGGTGTATGCTCGTAAAGTCCGATATGGGTGCGCGCTCTTGATGCCAATGTCTTATTCAAGCTAGTCGTGCCCGTTCTTAGTGACTGTTCTTGACGTCTGTTCGGACTGCATTGCGCTGATGAGTGTGTGTGGTTGATGCAGGTGCTTGATTTGTGCTCTTGATTCCCAAGGTTACAACATGAGAGTGATTTATGCTTTGGCGTGCCGTATGATATTGATGTCGGCGTGGCATGTTCGCAATCTCATATAGGTTGGTCTTAATGGTATCAGTAGGTTGTGCAATCTCTCGGGTCTATTGTAGATGAACGTGGACTACGTGACATCGTTACGCCTTGACGGCGTGTTATTGATGTGTGTGCTATACGAAAACTGTCATGTTGGTGTCGATCATCGATGCCCTGTACTTTTTTGATGCCAAGCCTGTTTTTTTGTTTGCGACCAGTGTGTTGCATGCACGGCGTGCTTTCAGGACGACGAGGGAACGTGGAAGATGAGGAGGAGGAGGACGACGACGACGAGGCCGAGGGGGAAGCAACGACGACCCCAAAGCGAAGAAACGACAAAGCGGGAGGACAAGAACCGAGAGAAGAGGCGACAGAACGGCGAGACAAAACTACATCGGACAGAACGACCAGAAACGGAATGCGGGTCCACTGCCTCACCTCAGAGCTGGAACAGCATTGGAACGAATAGCCCAGACAACGCCTCGCCTCCAAGCCGAAGACGATGAAGCCGCAACAGACCAGGGGACGCAAAGGCACAGGACGATGCCATGGATGGGGAAACGTGAAGACCCATCATCGTCAACGAACACATCCACAATCAACCCAACGCAGCCATCTGGACAATGTTGATGAAAGGTTTGAGCGACGCCACACAAATCAGCGTGCATCGACACGCAATGGGCACGACTTGATGCCAAGTGTGTATGTCTTGGTCAAATACATCGAGTCTTCGAAAGTGTTCGCGAATTTGGCTCAGTCACTTCGTTGCGGTGACGGTGGAATTTCTGGGGGCCCCTGGTTTGGACCCCCTTCTGGAAAGCAGTTCCGTGTTTCGCATGCCCCAATTATCCTTATCGCACAAGTGAAATCGGTGTCGCGTTTCTCCCGCCTCCTATCTGGATGCCGCCAGTGGCGAAGTCTCGGATATGCGATGGCGATGTTGATGACGACGGCGATGGCGGCGCCGTTGCGCCCTCTTCCCATGGTGGATCGGGATCTCCGCGGACAAATATCAAGGAAGAAAAGCGCCCCTCGAGCTCATCGTCGCCCGCGGGGAATCGGTTTCACGTATCTCGCGCCTCTGATTTCCTTCCTCGTCGGTCGAAGGGAGGTCCAGGTCGACCCCAACAAGCTTTCCGAATGATGAAGAAGAAGAATTGATGCACGACCCCAGAACACGGTTTTGCGGTCAAACCCGAAGGTTTTCGGGGGGGGGCAGAGACTGCTCAGACGCCACCCGCGCATGGAAGTACATCGCCTGGTGGCGGTTTCCGATGAGCGCGCCGATTGAA